CCCACCTACAGCAGCTGGGACATCAACCAACAGTCCTTGTATCTGCGCAATGACCAGCTGGTGGCCGGGTACCTGCAGGGCCCCAACACTGCCCTGGAGGGTGAGTTCCAGCCCCCTAATTCCCCCCAGCCCCAGATCCCCGCCAATGCCCCTCTGGGCCCTGCAGCCCCTGGACTCAGGGGCAAGCTGGGACCTTGGGGAGGCCTGGGCATTCTCACACTCCCCTCTGCCCCCCAGAGAAGATCTACTGGGTGCCCAGCCGAGGCTTCAAGCAGAATAAGTTGCCCATCGTGCTAGGCATCCAAAGTGGCACACGCTGCCTAGCCTGCAGCGGCACAACCCAGCCTGAGCTGGTGCTGGAGGTGAGCCTCTCGCCCCCCCCCCAATAGTCCCCTGCTCCCCAGATGCCTCCTACCCCATCCCCTATCTCTCAACTGCCCCCTGCCCACCAGGGCCTCCCCCACCTCCAGAGGGATTGGGGGGTGAGATTCAGATCACCATGCAGGACATGGAGCCATGGAGATTCACTAGCATGTGACCATGACACCAGAGGGGGGAGGTAGGGGTCAGTTGGGGGGGGGCATTCACCCTGGAACCCAATGACAACTGGGGTGATTGCCCAGGAAACCATGATGCCAAATCCAGCCTGCAGGGGGTTAGGCAAGGGGGGTGTGATTGGAACCAGTGCCTGGAGCTGTACAGGGTCTGGAGAGACCCCATCCCTCACACTTTTTACCCTCCAACTGGCAGGATGTAAACATCACAGCAGCAGCAGCACAGGCAGGGCAGGCAGAGCCCCGCTGGACCTTCTTCCGCTCCTACCAGGATGGTGCCTGGCGCTTTGAGGCAGGCTTTGAGGCAGCTGCACGGCCTGGCTGCTTCCTCAGCACCGCAGCCCAGCCTGGGCAGCCTCTGGCACTTGCCCATCCCCCGGACCCAGCCCGTGTCCTTGATTTCTACTTCCAGGGCTGCTGAGAGCCTCACCCAGCATCCACCGCCATTGTTATGTTCCAGAGTGAACACCCCGAAACTGAGGAGCCCGGAGGCAGTGGGGGTGCAGAACCCTATTCAACACCCCAGCCAGCATTAGGTTCCAGAGTGAATACCCAAGACTGAGGAGCCCAGAGGTGGTGAAGGTGGAGACTCCACAACCTCTCATGGCAGCCCCATCCATCACTGCCACCCTATACAGCATTAGGTTCTGGAGTGAACACCCCACAAGACGGCCGTGCCCAGAAGCCATGGGAACAGCCAGCGCAATTCATTGCCCTGCTTCCCTCATTAGGGTCCAGAATGAACCCTCAACCCTAAGTCACCCAGACACTGTCGGGATGGACAGTTCCATCCACTCCTAAACCCTGTCCTTGGGTTCCAGGGTGAACAACCCGCCAAGACCAAGGAGCCCAGACACCAGAGGTGGGCAGCCTTCACATACCACCTGTTACATCATTAGGTTCCAGAGTTAGCACCACCACAAACTGCAGTGAGTGTTGGCAACCCCAACCCCACCCACTGCCCTCCATACCCATTGTTAGATTCCAGAGTGAACACACCCAGCAACTGAGAAGCCAAGCACTGCAGAGATGGGTGGCCTTCTCCCATTGCCCCCACCCATCATTAGGGCCCAGAGAGAATGCTCCCCATCAATGCATCCCCATTCCCCCCATGTACATAGCCCCTGCACAATCACCCTCTGAATAAACCTTGCTGTCCTGAGCTGTGGCTGAGACTCCTGTTTGTGGAGGGTGGGGGAGCCAGACTCCTGGGTTCTGTCCTCAGGCACGTTACAGATCAACCCTGCGACACTGTGCCTTGCCCCATCTGCGTGCCACAGTTTCTCCTGCCCCTCTTGGCTGACCTGGCTGGGGGAACTGAGGCATGCAGAGGGGCCAGGGCTTGTGATGTGGATTTGGGAGGGGGGAATGGGGG